GTAGTTAAGAAAAAAAACCAAGCGAATTGTAAAATTAAACTTGAAGTCACCCGGGTCACAAGCCAACGCTGCGAAGTTGTTTGACACGAGCAAGAAAATGTTGACCCGAGTTAAAGTTTGTAAACGGTGGTTTGTTTCTCAACGCAAAGTCCAGCGCCATGCCCCCCCCCCCCCGCGACTGCACGGGGCAATGGCTCTCTTAATCAACACCGTCGCGTGCGCTTTTGGCCAGCGATCGGTTACTGGAATTGGCATCACCCGCGACCCTAATAATAGCCTTCAGTCGGACATCGCGGGACATGCGTACGCAAACTATGGCACTCTTGATGGAGCGCATCAACATGGACGCATCTACGAGATGATCTCGTGTGCAAATACAGTGGGCGACTTCTGAGACACGTCATGTCGAAGGCTTCTTATTTATTAAGAGCACACTGGGCGATAGATTTATGGAACGCCGCTACACATCGCCGACCGTAACACACAACCCCCATCGTCGGCGTCCAACGACGCAGCTGCCCGACTAGCGCAGCGACGGTGGTCGGACGACGTAGAGAGATGACGGCGAGCAGCAACGCAGCCAGGACCCGCAACAGCACCGAACCTCTGGTTCGATCCCCCTTATATACGCTCCAGCGTGGCCAAGCCCCGCCTCCGGCCACGCCCCCTTCTAGAACCCTCGAGCAGCTTCTCGGCTGACTCCGCCTCTCATCTTTACCCCAGATGCATCCCTCCTCATAATTAGGCATTACGTAATGTACCCACAAGCCCGATTACCCCTTCAGGCCGACAGGTGGCACCCTGTCATTACACGCATATATCTCGAACATTAAGAAGCATCATTTCTTGAATGTCGTCAAATACAAGTACTGGACTCTGCCACAGGATGGTCGTTTATAAATAGAGAAACGTAGATTTGACTAGTTTTTTTATATACGGCAATGTTGATCATAATGTTGGTGGCGAACTTTTTCTTTTCATTTCACCCTATATTTAATCGGATTTTTAGTCACAAAAGCAGGGTTGTATTTCCTGTTGCTGGTCGGAAAATACAATCTAAACATTTTACACAAACCGAACTTTTTTTTCCAGATGTCTCCAAACGAGTATTAAGAATCAGAGGATGCTGTTGCATACAGAGATGGATGCCGCGGTGGCAAGATTTTAACTCCCTTGCCTGGTATGCAGGAGCTCGTGGGTTCGATCCCGATCCTGACTCCTGTATATTTGGAGTTTTCATGTTCTCCCCGTCGTGGCTTGAATTTTTCTCCGGGTGGTCCGGTTTTTCCACCCAAATTTAGAAGCACGCGTTTATAGTATTTGGCGACCATCAATTTACGCACTATAAGCTACTTAATTTGGCTATTATTTGTGGCCAGGTCGCTTCGGAAAAAGTGCTCTATAGCTCAGTGGGCTTTACCTGGTAAAATAAAAATAGCTTTGTTGAATTTTAAATTGGGTCCAAAGAGGAAACTGCTTCTTTGATTAGCGAATAAGCGGCTGAAATGTGGTCCCGAAACATGAAGCACAGCTCATGTTAATCCCATTAAAGTTTATTGCCTTTCGAGTATTTGGCCGATATAAATTTCCACGCGATAAGCCACTTCGCCGAGCTATCATAAAATTTTATTTGTGATTTCTCCTACAGCAATTTCGTCATCACCGGTGCAATGAGCCCAGCCACCCGACAAGGAACATCCTCACGAATTGCCTCCGGTGGAAGCCCTTCCACCGGTAGTGGCGCGAGCGGGCACCTGCAGGGCTGCGCCTTTGCCTCGTTAAGACAACAATCACCCAAGAGCAGTCCCCGACTGGAGAGTGAAAGACACTCCTCCCACGTGATCACACGTCGAATTGCGTCAGCAACAAACTGTGAACAGAAAAGCGAAACGGCCGTAATTGCCGTTTAACCCTCAATAACAAAGATAAAGATCCCCCCCGTGGTGTAGCCTTTTGCAGACTGTTTTGGGGCAAGTGCTGTTAGCGAGCACCTATGAAGGCCTGAGTGGGGGGGGGGGGGGGGGGGGGGGGGGGGGGGGGGGGGGGGGTGCCAGCACCATGCCCGGCCGCCTTTGTCTCCCCAGTGCTGATATTTACACCCCACAAGCAGGCACCAATTTAAGGCTGAGTCGACCTGGATGGAGGCCCCAGGACCCGGTTGAGATGTTCGTCGACGATGTCGGCCGTGAGCGGGAATCGAACTCGGGTCGCCGGTTTCATCGCGCTTACCGCTGCCGCTCCGCTAGACGGCAATGGACGCACGCCACAGAAAGTCGACGACGATCAACGCCGCCAGACGTCCTCCTCATCCTCCTTCTCTGCTGCTGCTGCCAATTAAAGTGGCGCTGCCGCGGTTTAATAGTTGCCAGAATGCCAGACAATTGTTTGGAAGCGGAGAAGGGGAGGGGTGGTTGGGTGGGGGGAGAGAGAGAGAGAGCTCTGCGTTTCTTTAATTTAAGAAGTGCATTTTTTTGCGTCATTTTAACACAAACTGGCGATGCGCTGCGGCTGTCTTGGGGGGTTGTGGGGGGGGGGGCTATGGACTCGGCGCGCGTTCATCCGCCACGTGGCGCTATGGAATCCCCGTGCGGCGTTACGCGACAGTGATCCCCGTATTTGTTGACATTGGGATACAAAGAAAACCTCAAACGAAGCTACGCATATTATTTTCATTCAAGGAAAGACACTGACTCTCTTCAGCCCCCCCACCACCACAAACCCGGTCATCGGAACGTGGACTTTCCAACCACTGTAACAGGATGTAAGCAACGCCGCTAATTATATTATTTGGTGATGCTGCCGCGGCTGATGCTACGTTGGCAGTGGTGCACAAGGAGTGCAAACAGCAACCAAACACAATAACACTTCGTCAGAAAGTAAACCTACAAAATGTATAACTAAAAAATATAATAGGCAACGTTTCTTGGAAATTGTCGTTCTTTTAACGTGCTGCGAAGATGGGAAAGTGCCCGAATCGTCGTCCATTATACGCATATATACACATTTCTTTGAAGGTGGCAGTGTTATTGCCGAAGCTGTTGAGATTTTTTTCACAACCATTTGACGAGAGACGCGGTGAACTTAACGTTGAATGAATCTCAAAAGCGCTCATCTGGTTTCCATGAAGTTTATTTCAACTGATCACTGTTCACGTATTCTCAGGGTTATGAGACGAAAACGCTCCGGAAAGTAAGATGCACCCGACACGTGCCAAGTGTCAATAAAGTTATCTCAGTCTGGTCGCGCGCACACACACACAACAAAGACAAATATCCTCCGTATAGTCTTAACAGGTTCAGGTAAGTGCTGTTGGCGAACACCTATGAAACCTGAGCAGCACACGATGGCGTGGATGAGCAGCACCACGCCCGGCCGCCTTTGTCTCCCTATCTGCAATGTTTACACACCTCACCAGATACTCATTTGAGTGTGAGTCAACCTCGGAGAGTCCCAGAACCGGTGCAGATAATTGTCACTGATGTTGGCCGCGAGCGGGAATCGAACTCGGGTGGCTGGGTTTGTAACGCATCGCGCTAACCGCGACACCGCCCGCTTCTCACTACCCATCAACAGCCGCCATTCGCCACTAAGTGGCGGTGGCGTCACCAAGGCGCTTGTGCCAGGCTATGTGCACTTTAACTCCACGTGAAGTGTGGAGAGCTCTGGCTGGCAAGAGGTCACGGAACAGAACCCACCACGGTGTCATGGGTTGACTGACTGAGATCACTGGCAGATGCACCACCTGTGCCCCCAAGGTGCCATGGGTTGACTGACTGAGATCACTGGCAGATGCACCACCTGTGCCCCCTATTGTGCCAACTTGCTTTTTTTTGTGCCGTCACGCGCTCCGCCCGTTGTTATGAGAGTCGCCTCTCTGCCCTCCGTTGTTGCTGGAGGGCGACCGCCTCCAACTGCCCAGTAGCAGCGTCCTTCACGAGCCTCCTTCTCACTACACTAGCACATACACACGTACCGAATCGTAAGACGCACCCCCCCTAACTCTTGTTCCGAAACACAGAGAGAAAATGCGTCTTCTCCTCGTAGGCATCTCCCTCTCGAGTCATGACGAGGTTACAGCGACTCGGCGACTCAACCCATCATGCCTCTGGAGGTCGATAAAATAGGCCAACAGAAAATGTTGCAGCAAATCCCCCCCCCCGACCGTGACGATTACCAGAAGCTTGTTTGTTGCCCAACAAATGTGTCGTGGAGTCCTCGTGACCTCTGGAGCGAGTCCGCCAATCGTTGCCCGGGAGTCGCCAAAACGAGTCACCAAAAATTGCCAGGGGGCCTGATACCCGTCGCGCAATTTCCCAATTTGAACCACGCACTCTGGACACGTTTATTCCACGGACAGCGTGGACGAGTAGGTAACATAATCCCCGATAGGGGGTTGCTCTCTCTCTCTCTGATGACGAATCTATCTGCCAGCAATGGCGTGAGCAAGCAATTGCAGAACTGCGCCTCTACCATTACCACCTACGAACCCACACTCACGGACCCTTGTCATGACGCACACGTGGTCACCGTATTCGCTCGAGGAGTAAAGAAATTGCAACGCTGTGGTTACTGTGCAGCGGCTGGGGCATTATGGGCATAATGGTCCTGACGCAACGAGGCCTTAATCACAACGCCTCATTAGCAATGCAAACACACGAACGGAGGAGGGGGGCGCTACCGCGGGCTGCACACATGCGGGGAAGCGTGCGGCTCCCTGCAGAGGGCCCAATGCATTCTCTGGGCCTGCACGCGTTAGACGCGCGCGGCCGCCGCCGCCGCAGCTCGCTCGCTCGCTCTCTCTCTCTCGTTAGACACACGTGGCAGCAACCCATGCATTCGATCTGCATGCTTGAGAAACGCGCGGCCAAGTGTGTCGGCAGCCCGCGACTCCTGGTGCGGCGTGCGGCTCTTTAATCGCTGCTTCCTGACGCTATTTTCTGAAGGATCGCCGTCTCGTATTCACGTTGGGCCGTTTTACCGACAAACAAAAAATGGCTCACCTTGTTACTTTTGGTTGCAGGCCCCATGCACATGGCAGCTCACCTTGTTGGAAGCACCCCCCCCCCCCCGTTACCTTACATCTGTATGTCGCAGCCATGGCAAACTGCTCTCCTCCCTGTGCGTCAAACACACACGCGGCAGCTTCGCTTCACCATTTATTACACATGAGACACGTGGCAGTCCCCCTTAATCTTGTGTTTAAAAGACGAAAACACACACACGTGGCGGCTCCGTCTCACATGCACACGCGTTAGACACACGTGGCAGCTAGCGTCCTATCTGGATGTGCGTCAGACACAACCGTGGCAGTCCCTCGCACACGCATTAGAAACGCGCGGCAGCAGCTCCACGTTACCGTCTCTGCGCGCATTAGAAACCCGAGGCAGCTGCGCCAATCACCGGCGCCGTCCGCCTTAGCGTTGGGCAACGTTTTTAAAAAAGATTTCAAGCGGTGCGCGCGCGCATATTAAATCAAAGTCGCGCTTGGGAGCGACCTCTCCCCCTCTCTCTCTCCATGCATCCATCCTCCTGTTGCCCTTGCAGGACCACAGATTTAACAACAGCAACAGCCAAAGCTGTCAAACAACTCACGGCGACACTCAGCCTCTCTGCGCATTGTGCAAAATGCCATCAGCACTTTCCGGACACGTGCATTGTGGTCCTTTTGCCTCAGGTCACCGTCTGAACAAATGTGTGAAGCGGTGTAATTATAATTAGTGCTCATCAGCGCAGTCTAGGCACCACGAGTCATAATTCGGATGAAACCCGCTACGCAGTTATCTCTATTGCTGGTGTCGGTTCGGTAACACATTTACTCAAACCTATGTCCGGTGCATTCCAACAATAAAAAGCGGTGTGCATTTTATTTTATACCTACGTGATTTTACCGAAAGGACCAAAGAGTACGGATTCCTGCAGTCACGAAAGCTTCAAATCAAGATTGACGTCTGTGTGTGTGTGTTTTAAGTTTACGGTTTGCCGGCCGGCACTGGTTTTCTGCTGCGAAGGGTTTTTCCTCGTCCGTTACAGATTGGACACAAAGGTGTGCACTGCACGTGCGCAATCTCTCACCACGTACGTGTGACACATCACTCTTGTCTAAATCATCTCAAGCCTCTCATTAACCACGTGACTTTCGGCGTGGCCAACTGCCACTCTGAATCCCTCTCCACGCCCCCTGCGGAAACAGACGCTGCTCCGTGCAGCGACGTCGAGGCCCTCATGCAGCCTCTTCCTCCCTATCCTCAATGTCTCCTGACCCCTTTGGTCCCGTTTATCGGTTCCTTTTATCTGGTATTCACCATTGCTTCTTTTACCTCTCCCGTTGCATTATATTTTTCTATTGCATTTCTGTGTCCTCCTTGACTCTACTCCCCCCTTCCTGTCGTGTAGCCACGGGTAACACGTTGCTCGTACATCACGACAACGAGTGATCCAATTAAAATGAGGTGAACAAAAGCCAGTTAACGGCCTACAAAGTGTGCGCTCACTTGATGTGTTGGCCGATACAATTCCCCGTAAACAATTGATAATCTAAATCTTGACTTAAAGCTTTCGTGACTGCATGAATTAATATTATTTGGGTCTTTCGTCATCAGGAGGACGATCGCTTGTGTTGTGATCGAAACGTCGTAGTTTTTTGTTTATTTAAGTTTTATTAATTTGAGCCTATCTACGTGACTTTATCGAAAGACCCAAATAATAATTGATTCATAATATAAATTTATATTCATAGAGCGCCCTCACTCGAGGCGCTTGACATAGTTTGAAGAAAAAAAAGACCCGGTGAGATAATTGAATGATTTGTATGGCAGGCGCGAGCAAGGGTTGAGCAATGAGTGAGCCCGATAGACAAGGGTAGTGGAGGGACGGGAAGGAGTGGAGGGGCGAGGTGAGGGCAGAGGAAGGGAATGGGGCAATGGAGGAGAGGTGAGGATTTAAGAGAGGAACGGAGGTTAAGGAGGGGGAACTGCCTGCATGTACAGGGGGAGTTGATACCAGTGGAGGGTGTACAAGCTGGGAAAAGGATCTAAAATGGGATTGGGCACAGGGAGGAGGGACAGAGAGACAGAGAAGGTTTGGAACGAAGGGGACGAGAGGAGACATGGACGGAGATGAGAGAGGTGAGATGAGATGGGGGGGCAAGGCCATGGCGAGAATGAAAGACAAGCAAGGGTCAGGTGTTTGAAAAGACAGCGGTGTCGTAAACGCGAAGCCAGTTTGTGTGTGTGCGTGACAGGAGGCTAAATGAGACATGTCATTATTATGTCATTATTATTATGCGGCGCAATTGAAGTACGGTATGCCACGAAAGATGCAAAGCACTGAGGACGAGCGTTTTCAATCGGGGAAGACTGCCCGCCCTCTCGTCTGGGATGGGACTCACAGTCGTCTCCCTGCTCGAACGAGCGCTCATCTCTTTTGGTGGCTCTTAGCCAGCGATGTCCCTTCCACATTGCCACAAGCGCGGGGCCACTCTTGGTTTGGGCCTATCTCTACAGGAAATAAACGTTAAACACAATCTAGATTAAAAACTAATTCCTATACAACTGCCTTTTGTGTTTCGTTTGTTGTCCTTCCCACGCACCTCCGATTATCACGGTTGGTTATGTACGGTTGGAAAGAAGTTCAACATACATACGTTGTGACATCTCCTTTAGTTCCCTGCTGTCTTCCTGTCGAGATGATAGTTGCGATGCACCCCTCTAACCCAGCACAGTGTTAGCGATGGTTGGTAGATCGCGCACACATTGCGAAACTCCTCTCCCGTAAGCGTCAAGAAAGAGTCATTCATTGGCTCGCCAGGAAAATTGCGGTAGCAAAAATGCGGACTCCACTTTCTCCGTCTGTGTGGGATAGAGTGTTTCCCCCTCGCACGCGTGGGTTTTCTACCAGTGTTCCACTTTTCTCCCACACGTAAAAACTACTTCCGGATCCAGAATCATAATATTTTTGCTGGAGGAATCCCACGAGCTATAGAACTCTTTTTTTTTTACAGATAATCCAGGATCCATCCTGGACATGCTGCGTCCAAACCCTCGGAGTCGTCTCTCTCGGATCTGCCCTCTCGGCGTCACCTCTTGGCCCAGTCCTTCTCTCACAGCTTCCTTTCTAGTTCTTTGTCGCCGTGGTGGAGGCGATGAAGCGACGGCGTCAGCTGCGAGCTCGGAGTGGTTTGAGGAGCCGAGGCAAAGACGCTTTCCTCGTGGGCATTGCAGATGTGGGACAGCAGTGATGACAACGGATGGACCACGTGATGACGACGGATGTACCACGTGCCCCGCACAGCAAGAGACCGTCACGGAGCTTCGCACGTGACTCCTATTTTAACCGTGTTCGTAAAAGTGGGGTAATTTATTATATTTCAACCTTCATTCGTGAAGTACATTTTAAAGGAAGCATACTATCTTCATTTGAAGCTTTCGTGACTACATGAATCCATACTCTTTGGTTCTTTCGGTAAAGTCACGTAGGTAGAAAAATAAAATAAAAAAATATATATCACGACGTTTTGATTGCAACACCAGTGGTCGTCCTCAGGCGGAAAAAAAATATCCAGCAGTGGAACTGCTGAAACAGTGGTGCAGCAGTTCGACTGCTGAACCACTGTTGGAACCAGCTGGTTCAGCAGTTAAATACTTTCTGGTGCAGCAGTTCGACTGCTGTTCCACTGTTGGAACCAGCTGGTTCAGCAGTCAAATACTTTCTGGAACCAGCTGGTTCAGCAGTCAAATACTTTCTGATTCAGCAGTTCCACTGCTGAGCCACTTCTGGAACCAGCTGGTTCAGCAGTCAAATACTTTCTGGTTCAGCAGTCAAATACTTTCTGGTTCAACAGTTCCACTGCTGAACCACTGCTGGAACCAGCTGGTTCAGCAGTCAAATACTTTCTGTTTAACATGCTGAACCACTGCTGGAACCAGCTGGAACCAGCTGGTTCCACTGCTGAACCACTGCTGGAACCAGCTGGTTCAGCAGTCAAATACTTTCTGGTTCAACAGTTCCACTGCTGAACCACTGTTGGAACCAGCTGGTTCAGCAGTCAAATACTTTCTGGTTCAACAGTTCCACTGCTGAACCACTGTTGGAACCAGCTGGTTCAGCAGTCAAATACTTTCTGGTTCAGCAGTTACACTGCTGTTCCACTGTTGGAACCAGCTGGTTCAGCAGTCAAATACTTTCTGGTTCAGCAATTACACTGCTGGATTATTTTTTACGCCTGAGGACGACCGCTTGTGTTGCGATCGAAACGTCGTGATATATTCTTTTTTATTTTATTTTTCTATCTACGTGACTTTACCAAAAGAACCAAAGAGTAAGGAAGCATACTCTTTTCGGTTACCATAATCTCAGGATTATAAGACGCCCGGAAAAAGTAAGACGTACCCCAAACTTGTGCCCGGTGCCAGTGAAGTTATATGCATACAGGGTGGGCCAAAAGTGAGGACACATTGGGTTATTATATATATTTTTTTTAATCACATAGGGTTACTTCATTTATTAAAACTAAAATGTTCAAACTGACTTACATGAACATTAATTCATGCATGAATTCTCTTTTGAAATGAATTCAGGACTTGTTTTTTTAAATATTAGCATACATAAAAAAACGAAATGAACTCGTTCGTCTTTAGTCAAATGTATTTCCATTTTTAAATGTCATTTGTAAAGGAAGAAGAAAATATATATTAATAATGATTATGGTTACAATATTTACTTAAATAATAAACAATAAAATGTTTTAATACCAGTCTTGAAATAAATTAAATTAACTCTATGTTTCCTGACTTTTGGGCCACATTGTATATCTCGTTGCTCACACACGTACCGGATTATAAGACGCACCCCCAACTTTTGCTCTAAAATACACACGAAAAAGTGCGTTTTTTAGTTCATAGAATACGGTGCATCAATTGTACAAACTATTTAACTTTCAAACGCTACACAATTTGAACGAAGGCACTCACGACCAATACTATGATTCGTAATTAGTTTGGTTTTGCTTTGTTTTTAGATCGTGTAGGTAATTGGAGCACAACAACCAGCACATACACACACAAAGCAAACGGTTCACAGCTTGTTCGCATCTCCTTGTCATTCTCACTTCTCAGAGTAGACTACGAACACAACTTCCCCGGCAGTGCCGGATTATCCTCGTAGCAAAAGTAGCTACATAATGCTACGGGCAACGCACTTTCAAGGGCCCCGCGCTAAATGCTTTCAAGATATCATTTCCGGTTCAGCGATTCTGCACTTGCTCTATTACTATAGTACTATACCGCCTTCAACTATTATGAACGACTGGGTGTTTAAGGTTAGCGAATTGTCGTATTATCTGTGGCTGTATAGCAAATGAAAAAATAAAATTACTTTACTATGCTGGTTAAAATTGTTTACGTGCTTTAATATTTACGTGTTCTTTTTTTATTCAGGGCCCTTTAATACCATATGCTACAGGCCCTGCACTAGCTTAATCCGGCACTTGTCCCCGGTTCACGCCGCCTGCAGCCCCCTTCACGCGCTGACATCACCCGACGGAGAGACGTTTCCCTGCTGACCCCTTCCGCAGGTAGCTGGGCCCGCACCTCCGAAAAGAGGGAGGACTTCGATTTATTTTTGTGTTGTTGTTCTCAACGGCGTTGTGGGTGTCTGGTGACGCGCGCCAGATGAGCACTCTTCGACCTCCCTCCCGCCCCCCCCCCCCCCCCCCCCCCCGAATGAGCGACTGGCGAAGGCGGCCGCGTCTCTCGCGCGTCCAGCTGCCTCGTCTGAACGAGGCGATTCATTGCGTCATCCTTTGAAATCGGAGCCGCCGCCGCGTCCTTCTCGAGTCGGGGCGCTGATGATCGCGACGAGAGCACGGGGCAGCATGGGTCCCAAGCAGCGTGCGTCAGCGGAGACCCCGACACCTCTCCAGGCCCCCAAAACAAAATTCTCAGCCAAGCCAAACCCTCACCCCACACCCCCCACAAGGCCCACAGCCAGCAACGACGACGACCACCATCACTCGACCCCCCCCCCCCCCCCCAGAACCCCCACCACCACCACCCGACCCCCCCCCCCCCCCCCAGAACCCCCATCAGCAAGCCACCTTCTTCCCACGCCGCATCCTCCACCTCCTCCTCATCCCCCGGAACCTTTGGATCAGTCACCCAGCACAAATCCATCCGCCCACACCCCGCAAATTGCCACCTCCACACTCTTCAATGGGTACCGTTAATTAAAATCTAAGTTTAAGTTGAATAAATAACGTATATATATTTTAACAAAAAACCCACACGCAACCCACTTTAATAGCAATGGTAAAGACACGCGATGGTTGGACGGAGAAGGCAACAGAATTGCACATCGGAAGCGGGCAGTCGGTACAGGTTGCGCCCATTCGCCAACATTATTCACAGCGACTGAGTGTTGCTGAAAGTTGGACGATGGATTTGAAAATGCAAACGTAAACAGAGAAGACGTTTAGGCATCTCAGATTTGCTAGTGGACAGCGAACAATTGAAATTAACTCCAGGAAACGGTTGGAGATTTTTTTAAATATAAATAAATAAAAAAGGCTGCAAAGTGGGGCTCAA